TAGTAAGTTCTCGGCTATCCGAAACATGAGCATTAGCACTGCGTGATTTGGTTGAGGGATGCTATTTATTCAATCAAATTTTTACTCAGATGTTGGTCTTGTATAGTTTCTAGTTGAAAAGCTGAGTGAGGTCTATTAGAATCAGAAATCGAAATGGAAACGTTTGTAAGCAAAACATATCCTAAGGCTGCGTTGTGCATAATAGCCATATTAAAAATAAATGTATTATTTTTAAACGAAAACCGCCTTCAGTTAGCATATTGCTAGAGGGTATAGAAGTACTGAAAAGTACAAAATGCAGAGAATTAAATGATTAGCTTGTGACGCCAATAACTCCACTCGTTCCGAGCATCACCTGTAATTACTCGCAAGTTTTCAGAACCGTAGCTATAGTGAAACCACCCAAATGGATACTACAAATAATTTGAATTCTAAGCCACTAATATGAACATTACTCTTCAATATCCATCCATACAATTAGCATTAAACAAACATTTTCTGTCTTGCCCTGACTTGTTCCTTCTTCTCATCCCCAGCTGAGGCGGATCTGTCCAGTCTTGAGCAGGACCGAAGTGCCATCCACAGGCAGAGGCACAGAAGTGCCAGTCTGAGGAGGAGAAGTTTTGGATCACATTCCTATTCCTGACAGGAATCTCTAGCAGTGATGGACTAATTTAACTTATGTACATTACATATAATATGTGAACACTCCTCAGTGTGGAAATAGTGGATACGTCTCAAAATGTGTAACAACTCTTTTGCATCGTTTTCTTAAATTGGATACTGTAGTGTTAATATGATATTGATCTTCTACACAGTTCTCAGCTTATCTACGTCGGTTTGCATTATTTAGGTTTTAATATCAATAAAACAAGTGCATGGGGGAAAAAAAGACGACTGGAAGTGTTTCAGAGTATAACAATTGTTTATTTGAACAGTGTTACACAGGGGCGAGGAGTGGCTGCGTGTGAGGAGACAACACGATTTATGCAGCTAGACTAAAACAACCTACCAGTGATGTTTTGGTAGCAGGAAGCAAAGAGGCGGCTGGTTAATTTCTCCAAAATGTCCGTCTTCATAAAAGTGTTTTAGATGAGATACAAAAATGTGCCGTCATTGTGCGGAATAAACAATCTGATTATAGAGACATTTTAGTTAAAAATCCCAGACAAATTTAAAATCAGCTGGTAATGATCGTCAGCTTTGTAATCTGAATAAAAAGATTAAAATTCAGATTTTTTTTTTTTTTTTTAAATAAAGTTGTCATTAAAGCTACAAACATTTTTGGAAAAGTCAACCTGGCCTCCCCCTAAAGCTCCTGCGGTCGGTTCAAAGAGAGAAAAAAAGCCCTGAACCAGAAGCAGAGAAAAGGTGGCAAAAACAAGTTGATCTGTAGTGGTTTTTCTTCACCAACAAAATACACAGTGGCAATATTACAAACAAGCAGGAAGGTGGAGCGACAGACCCCACCCTCCCAAACTACTAGACCAGTTTCACAGAGAAAAGACGAACCGTGAGAGACTCTACAGATTCAGCTGATGTGGCGTTACAGATTTATTTAATGAGATTTTCCTATGTGGAACAGCAGTCGCTTCCAAAAGCTGCCTAGAGATGAAAGTGTTTTTATTTTTTTTTCATGTTTATTTTATTTTTTTTTTCTTCTGTTTTGCAAGAGGATTAGAAGTCAAAGCTTCCTCCCCTCGTGGAATGTTATTTAGCTGCATAGTTGAAGTAAGACCTGTGTTTAGAAAGTTTTTTTTTTTTTTTCCATTAGTCTCGCAGTCCACTGGACATGTTAACGCTTTCCAGGCTGGATGTTTATAAGAAGCTGTTAATTTAAATATAATTTTAAAAAGGTCCAATTATAAAGGGAAGTGGAACAGGTTTTCTCAGAAGAGTCCGCTTGAACAACAAAGCCTTTTCTTTAAGCTTCTCAGAATAAAAACGGTGTAATTTGGTGTGATTCTGCAAAAAATTTGAAAAAGACAACATAGAAATTCATTATGAGTTTAAAGAGCACTTCAGGCCCTCTAACTTCCTCCCTCTTGAAGCTGCGCTATAATGTTGTACCGACTGTTTCTCCCCTCTAGTATTTTGTGCAAAGCGAAAACACGCTTGAACAGAGCAGAACGTTTGGTTGAGCTAAACCAGCTACGACACATCCAGCAGCATGATGAAGTCAGATTATGTCAATTGAGATCATCTAAACTTAAACCAGTCACATACAGCAGCCTCCTGTTCTAAACTGGCTGAATTTGACAGAAAAGAAAGGGTGAAGCATGCGCGATTCAATCCCATACGCTTTATCGTCTTTTAACAGGCTTTTTTCCTTCTTCTTAGTGTTAAGTGTAGCGGGATATGAAAAGCAGCCGGGCGTGAACAGTGAAGAACTACGACAACAAGCAGGTTTGTAGTTACAGCGAACGTGTAAAAAGTTGCATTAGTCTGAATCTGGGACAGAACTGGTTTCAAGTCGCCTTCGTTTTGGTACCGTCGCTGCTCCGAGGCTCGCTTTGAATAATTTAAACCAAATGAAATTTTGCATGGAGACATTCTCTGGAAACAAAGCATCTCCGCGCTGGAACCGGCACAGAGTAAGGCTGACTTGCATCGCCGCTCCAATTGGTTTTCACTCCCGAGGTATCGGTTGGCACTCTCCCAAATCATCGTCCAGTTTTTTTACCAGTCGTCTCTCCCAGTTAAAAATGTCAGTTTAATCTCCCATGTTCCCCTGGGGCCCAGCAGGAATGGTTAGTGTTGAACAGTAGACAAACCCGACGAGGCGCTAAGCTACTGAAAAGCTGCTCTTCTTATTATTATCTTATTTTTTTTAACGACCTTCATTTTTCTTCGTCTTCTTTCCCGTACGAGAGATGCATCGACCAGCGTTGAAATCTGCTTATTTTCAGTTCAACTTCATTTCAGCGTCGATTTGTGAGATTCATCACGTTCTGCGTTTGAAGCTTATGTAATTTCACGCCAAACATGAGTGATAAAACGTCGCCTTGTGCCAGTGAAATGAAACAAGAGCTGAACTGAAGGTGAACTTACTCAGCAGCTGGTAGCAACACAAGGAATGTGGATGAATAAGCTACATTTACAAACATAAAAAAATAAAAATGAAATAAAAAAAAAAAAAACCTGGATGATTTACTGCAGTGTGTAAATTACAGCTCCCGCCATTGTGTAATTAATAATAATAATAATATAATAAAAAAGCATTAATGTGAAATAGCTTGTGTTGATTGTTTTATAAGGTAAAAAAAAAAAAAGATTTATTTCTATGTTCTTCAAACCGGATTAATGAGTTAAATATTTCTCTTTGCATTTACACCTTGTTAAAGGAAAACAGGAGCTGTAATTTATTGAAACTCATTTTCAAAAGGAATGCACTAAAAAAAAAAAACCCTCTCTCTTTCAGTCTGAAGCCGTTGGCTTCGTTTTATGCCAACATAATTTTGGGACATTTTAGAGTTTTGCTGATGTAATAACAGAGACGTAGATGACGTATTCTTTGAATGTCAGAGGCGTGTTGGAGATCAGCAGAAGCCGAATTTGATATTCGCAACACGCAACAAACACTATAGTCTCTTTCTGTCTTTGTTTTTATAAACCGGGTAAAGAAAACGCTCTAATATAAAAGGATAGAAGCTACAAACGTTAAGCTAACAAAGTGGTTCTTTTTGTTCCCTCAGAGAGAGTGAGGATATTTTTTTTTTCTCTTTTTGCAACGAGAAACTGAAATGCACCAAAACAAATGTCTGAAAGACCATCTGGGATGAGAGTGACATCTTCAATCCTCCCATCCGCCCTGGATTGAACCTTTTCTTCATCCCATTCTTGAGCTCCTCCTCTTCCTCTTTCCCTTTGGCAGTGCAGGTTGGTTGTTGTAAAGTGATGAAGATGTTGTCAGAAGAGGTAAGGGTCACTGCTGGTCTTTCAGTTCTGGAAAGCAGATTGGGGGCAATCAGCCTGCAGCTTTGTGATCAGAAACACTTAGACTCCTTTCATAGAACACACCTTTTTTTTTATATATTCCTCACACGCACGCACGCGCACACACACACCTATACTCTCATTCCACTTTAAGCTACATCACCCTAAACATTTACTGGTAAAGATGTGCAAAAAGTCATTTTATTGCAGCAGCATGTGAAAAACGTTAGAATGATCAGCCATTTGATTCCAGTTGGATTGGGGGAAAAAAAAATCTCCTTTTAGCAAAAAATATTTAAAAACCTAACAGATCTAAAACCGCATCATTTTATGCTTTTATAATATATTTATGCTAACTTAAACTAAGCCTCTGTAGCAATAATTGGACCCTATAAACACAAATTTATTTTTTTGAAGAATGTCTTCAGTTAAAAACCCTTGTGGGAAAAATCAATGTGTTCTTTTTCTTCTCTGAAGTCGTTTTAGTAGCCAACAAAAGCCGACACGCATTCAGACCATAGTGATGTTCGCTGGTATCAATTATTTATTAGCTCTTCCACTGGGTTTGTGTTTCTTTGGTGGCACACACAGTGCTGTAAACTGTATATTTGTGGACATGGTTTTTCAGAGTTTGAACACGAAGAGGAGAGAAAAAACGTGCTGTAATTGAATTGTGATGCTGATAAAAGCTCCCACTGTTTCCAGACTGAGAATAAGAAGACTCCAAAGACAGGTGTGACATTACATCTAGCTTCAGAGGAAAATCAAATGCAGAATATAATTTGAGATTTAAAGGAAACCAAGACTAGAAAGAAGCTTCAGATGCTTAGAGCATCGTATTTCCGTTTTATTTTCATACATTTTTAAGGATTCCAGGGCGATGTTAATGAAAATCTGGTGGAAACTGAAAACTAAAAATGTGGCGTCAGTCACAGTGGGTTTTTTTTTTTTTTTTTTTTCAAACATATAGTTGAAGCAACAGAAATAATTTAACAAGACGCAAACTCAACCTTCTTTCATGTCCATCTAAGGTCACCAGCACTGTTTAGAAAGTCCAGTTCATCTGGGGAGGTGTGAATATGGAGAGAAAAAAAAAAAAAAAAAAAACTGCTCTGCCTGAAAACCTAGATCTCGGTTCAGTTGAAGTGAACTCTGGCGCGATTCGAATCCGTGTGTGAAAGCAGGAGATCCGGACACCGCTCCAAAGAGCAGGAAGTGGACTACAGCGCAGAGCATTCTGGGTAAACACGACCAAAACAAACACGCGAGTCTAGCGCTAGTGGGAGAAATGGCTCGTGGTCTTTTGCCAGAGCAAAAGAGAAATGAGAGAAAACCCAACATTTGTCGCTACTGCATTTTTGTTTACATTTCGTGAAGAAGGAAGTTGCGCTCAGTGTCTTCAGCAGAGGTTTTTGTGTTGTTTCCTTCAGTGGTTCTTGGTGCAGGCGAGGGCGGGGGGAGCAGGGGTTTTTTTTTTAAAACGGTTTGGTTTATTCGACAAAGTGAAAGCAAACCGCGGCAACTGAAAATGTCTACGAACCGAGTCTACTAGACTAACAAATGAAAACACACACTCTTTGTTCTGGGGGTTAAATCCTATTAAAACCCTGGAAGCTTAGCTGATGGAGGGTGGAAGGGTCAGGACTCTGGATGATCTAGCGAATCTCTCAACCTTGTGAAATGGAAGGGAACACTACGTACCGTCCCACCAGAAAATAAATAAATAAAAATCTGTATGTGAGTGAATACATTTCCTGAAGCTAAAGGCTAGATTTGTTTAAAATTCACGATGCTGCTATAAAAGACAATTTGCTGTGTCGAAATTCTTCTAGTACCTCGGAAAGACAGAAACTGTTTCAATAACAATAACAACAATCGTGCAACTCACTATTATTACCTGAGTTCAGTCAATCCTCCTCCTCAGCCAGTTCAGTTTCTTTATGAACAACCACTCTGGTAACAGACATGTCAGGATGTTGCTCTTTGGCCTCCTTAATGGCCTGTGCCAGTGCCTGCAGTACCCAAGGGCAGCCACATAGGGGAGACACCGAGCACAACAGGCAGTGGAGGGGAAGGAGGGCAAAAATGATGGTGTTAAATAAAGAAAAAAAAAGATGAAATAAGAAGCATTTAAAAAAAACCCATCATATGAAAGATCAGTGGACCATTTTACCTTTTTGGGTTGACAGAATGGCAAATAAGAGGACTGACAGAGTAAAATGGCTTTAAATTAGGAAATTATTCCAACTGGAATCAATTCCCAAAAACACAAACTCAAGCTGTGTTGTTTTTGCTAAAATTTAGCAAAACCGAACAGACATGCAACTTAAAAAAAAAAAAAAAAAAGCAAGAGTCATGCAGATGCAAAGGCAGTCCATTTTCATTTGAGCTTAACTAAGCGAATTTAGAACAAAAGACGCAAAATCTCTGACATTTGGAAGCAAAGACAGCAAATCAAATGAACCGGGAGATCGATAAGCTCAGACAAAAACAAAGGAAAACATCCAACAAGGCCAGGACGAAGGGAGGAAGTGATAAAGAAGAAGTCGGCCTCTGGCTGCCAGCAACAAGATGCTGACATGTCACCAGAAATCTAAATATCCAACAACGTTTTTAAATTAAAAAAACAAAAACACTTTTACACTTAAATCTTAGAGAGAACCTTTTCACACCTTCCACATCTTGTTAGGTTAAAGTGGCCCAACAAGCTTGCAGCTAAAAACCTTAGAGATGAGCAACAGGGCTTGAGAACCGACCTGGTCGTGGTCGATGTCGCAGTCGCCGGTGATCACGATGCGCTTCTCAATCCTCGTCTCCGAGAGCCCGCCTTTTAATGTCTGGAACAAAACGGAGGACACGACTTTGATGACCGTCACATGTGGTTTATTTGTAAGTGTAATGGCCCGGCTGGTGAGACACAGCGCTGAGCCGGGGGGGGCGAAACAGATAAAAGAATGATGGCCTCATTAAAAAAAGAAAGAAAAAATAATTAAGTATCAGACTGTGCTTCAGTTTAACTTCAGGGTTTCTTCAGCTTTCAATAGGATTTATTTAAACTCAAACAAATGTGCAGTTTTTTCATGATAAACGAGCAGAACAGTGGACACGTAGTCAAGAACATTTAAATTTCCAAGATGAATCGTTTGCAAGAGTCAAAATCTTTTGCAGACTAGAGGGAAAAAGGCTAAAAGTTCGACTATGATGTTCGTTTGTTGCCGTGCATCATAGTGTCCCTCGGAGTTTTCTCAAAGTAGAGTGCGATCCATCGATAACTTCAAAACATGGAACAAAAACATGCATATTTTTCAACTAAAAAAGCAGAAGTTGAGCAAATTTAACAGATAACTAAATGAATCTTAAAAAAATGGAAATCATATAAATACAACTCAAAACTTAAGACCCTGAACTCATAAAAAAAAAAAGAGAAAACTAATGTGCTGTAAGATTTAAATTCTAGATGATGATACTTATGCTCAACCATAGCAATATGAAAAAGCAGAACAACAAATCGTGTTTTGTACCTTGGTAATGTGCGTGGTGGTGGTGGTGCACAAAGACTCAGAGGTGATCGTCTGAGCGGTCATCAACACTCCGGGTTCACCATCACTATTACCATCCAACTGAGGAAAAGAGGAAAACAACAACAAAAAAATAAATCAGATCGTCCGCTCCACATCAGCAAATTCTTTAACTCGTCGCTACAATGCAAGACTTTATTTTTTTTCTCTTTGGATGAAGGAATAAGTGGTGGCGCCATGCCCTGCTGCTAGAAAAGAAAACACTTTGCAACACAAAGTACGTTAAACTAAAGGGTTTTCCCCCCAACATTACAAAAAAGTGACAGAGGAAATAAATAATTATAAAAATATGAAAAACAAACTCCCTGTGCTTCTCAAGTGTGCACCTGTGCGGCCTCGTATGTGATGGTCTTGGTTTCCGTGTGCACGATGGGCACTTCTTTTGTGGCTATCTCAGTTTTCTGGGCGGCAAACGTGTCTGATATAGTCACCATTTCTGTTTTTACCACAGGCGGCTGGGGAGGGAGGAGAGACAGGAGTGAGTGGGAAGGAGAGACGGTTAATAGGTTTAATACGAGACTGCTTTGGGAACAAATGAACAGATACATAAGACATCTTTGGCATCAGAATTACTTACAAGGTGGTCGTCACTTTAAAGCAAAACTTAAGAGAAGTTGGCTTCAAAGACAACGGTACCAAACAAAAGTGACTTTGTGTGAGTACTGATAATGTACAGTGCCTTGCAATAGTATTTGTATTTTATTGGGATTTTATCTGACGGCCCAAGACAAAGCAGTGATTGATAGTTCAAGCTGCAGAGAAATAATATATGGCTAACAATCTAAAATGTGTGGCATGAATTTGTTTACTCCTGAATAAAATCCTTTTAGAAGTCAGTCACCTAATTATTGAAAAAGAAGCTTGCAGTCACATAGAAGACTGACCAAACATACAGAACGTGACCTAATCAAAAAGAACAAACAAAAAAAAAAACAAGCATGTTTCTTCTAAACTTCAGCTGCACGCTAATTTGTGTTAGTTTCGCACATGAAATCCCTAAAAAAAAAGGCAATAAAGTTTAAGTTTTGAGTACTGTTGCAAGGGACTGTAAATAAGTGTACGTGTATCAGAAAGTGTAGATTTGTAAACAAAGCGCACACACAAGCACACATGCAATAAAATTCATGCAGGTGGAATGAGAGCTCTTAAACTCGTGCAACGACATGCCAGGAAAAAGCCAATTGCAATCTAGCTAAGAGAAGACGACTAGCAGCTACAGCAGCAGCACCGACCACACAGAACTTTCTTGGGTGTCAACATGCAACTCCGAACATGAGACGGCACCAACATGAAGGGAACATGAGCCAATAAAGCCAACAGGGCTCTAATGACTGGAAAACAAAGCGGCTATTGAAATGTAAACAAGGTGGCATTCAGATGAGTGGGTGGCATTTCCAAAGTGCTTGGCAATGGCGATTTCCACAAATACGAGGAGCGGCGCCACTGCCAAACGCAATAAAGGACACACAGGCACAGCTCATAAAGGTGAAAATCAGCATGCAAAATGAAAACGCGCACACCTAGAAGCATCTTGCATTTCCCACTTAGGCCCCATTTACTTCACAACACAACGCAGGAGGCAACAGCATCGACACGCCACAATGAGTGGCACTAGATCTACGAGGATAAATGGCAGGAAATGTGGCAGAGACATGAATAAGTGTGACTGGGCGGTAAAATGAAAGCGGCTTCTTGAGGAATTTGACATAAACACCGACAGTATCGGCGATGAAGGTCTTACAGCACGGTCCTAACCGTCTTCAAAAGGTGTTTGTTTTCTCAATATGCTTTCACAGAACGGAGAGGAGTGTGAGAATGTACATGGGGCTCAAAGTTGCACACAAGCAGGAAAAGGAAACCGGCGATGTGAGAAGCAGCGGGGAAAGAAGTGGGTGTTTTCTACGGCTGGCGGGAAGGTTCAAAAACCCCTGGAGGAGCTCCACAGTTGGTTTTACCTCAGAGCAACAAATAACCTGCGGCCGGGGATCCACTTCCACCAGCGAGGCTTCTCCGTTCATTTTAGGCTGCTCCAGGTCCTCGGTGGGGCCGGCCTCGGCGCTCTCCTCGGGCACCATGAGGCCCTCCGGCGCCTCTTCGGGGGTCACCATCGGATCGTCGGTGCTGTCCTCCGTCTCCCGTCCGCTTTCTTTCTCCTCCTGGTCGTCTTTCTTCTCCTCAACCTCCATCTCCTCCTTCTTAGATTCTTCTTCTTCTTCTTCTTGACTCGTTTCTTCTGCAGGCTGGCTGACCTCCGCCGGAAGAGATGGGACAACCGGAGCAGATGCTTGCTGCTGTTCCTCTTCCTCCTCCTTCATCTGCTCTTCTTCTTCCTTCTCCTCTGGTATTTGTGATTGAGAGATGGATGCAGGAACGTTTGGATGGTACTCTGCTTCCTCCTCGCTCTCGCTGTCAGAGGACGCCTTCTCCGGCTTCATGGGGCTTACATCCTCCACCTCCGCCAGCGCCGCTTCCTCTTCGACCTTCACTTTCTGGTCCTGAGGTTCATGCTCGGCGGGCGGGGCGGCAGTAGGGTCGGCCGTAACCGTGACGACCCCGGGTTTGGGGGCTCTGGAAACTTCTTGGATGACAACAGTTTCCTCGATTTCAACTTCGGTGGTCTACACACACGCACACATGTACACACGTACACAGAGTGCACAGACACACACGATGAGGTGCACACGTATACAACAAACGCAAAAAAAGCAAAACAAAAAAACACAAAATATGATCATTGAACATAAATTAAAAATGGGTTAACAGAAAATATATATATACAGAAGAAACATGAGGAAAATAAGATGAGGTATAAATGAAGAAGATCCTCCAGGGTTTCTACACGGTTTTTGTGGAAAATAATCCATAATCAACTTCCCAGGATTCTCTTTCTTTATCATTTAATTTAAAATAAAAGAAAGAAAGGAAAGCAAATACATGGAAAGACAGATAGGAAAGAAGCAAGGAAACTAAGAACGGATAAAAAGGAAAAAAAGACAAAGGAAGAGAAGAAGGGAAGAAAAAAGAAGAAAGGAGGGAAACTGAAAAAGAAGGAAGGAAGGAAGGAAAAGAGAAAAGAAGGAAGAAAACAAGGAAGCAAGGAAAGAAGAAAGGAGCAGAGAAAGGAAGGAAGGAAAAGAGAAGGCTGGAAGGAACGAACCAAGGAAGGGTGGGGAAAGGAAAGAAGGAAAAGAAAACACTAAGAAAGGAAAAGGAAAAAGGAAATCAAAGAATAAGGAGGAAAGGACAACTTTTGACAATGGGATAAGGGAAAAAAAATCCTGGAAACAAAAATATTTCCCTAAAAGCTAAAAATTTCATTCCATACTTTTCCAGACTGTGTAGGAACCCTCTACAGTGGATCAAGTTGGAAACGACCGAAGTGGCAATGGGAACATGAAAGCTCAGTTGAGAACAAACGGAGGCGTGAAGGAAGCGAAAGTCATGAATGGAAAGCCAAGAGGGGTTACAAAGAAAGTTAGTACCACCTTTGCAGGTTCTTTGGTTTCAGAGCTCGCGTTATCAGCTGAAGCTGCTTCGGTTTGCGGCACACTGACCTGCGTGACAGAGAAGTTAGGACGACAACATCAGTCACACATCGGCGGGAAAGTCACTGTTAGCAATTAGCAACACCGGGACGCTTGTTATCACAGCGTGGGGATGGGACCGGCTTTTGTCATCTACTCTTTCACTTCTTATCTCGTCTTCTCTTTGTCTGTGGGACGGCTGTTCTGCACAAACACTAAATCCACACGCGCACAGCAGGAACTCAGCGAGCAAAAACAGGATCAAAAGAGGAATAGAAATGAAGTTCGCTCAGAAAAAAAAACAACAAACAAAAGATGGTCTGAAGAGTCTTTTTCATGCATGGAAATGTGTTTCTTTTGCCATTTAAAGAAGCTCCAGCAAACAGGCACACAATAAACACATTATAAGGTTCTTTTTGTCCCCCCCCCTCCATTTCAGCCTCTGTGAAAACAGCTGCTTCACACCGTACTGTCTTTAACATCAGAGAACGTCTGGCAAGCAGATTTGGCACATAGTAGAAAATTTGCATTCCTTTACCGCCAGAAATGACAAACCCTTGCACTGCACAGCTGTTAGTCGATTTAGATCAAATTAATCCTGAAAATAGTGCAGCAACAAGCCACTGAGGATTAAATGCTCCCAGACGCAAATTAATTCATGCAACATCAACAGCAGGCTTTATATACACATCTGCCAAGCAGCTTTAATCAACTAAAGCATTAGAAGGTGTCAGTTCACTTTTAAGCTGGTCAACTGAGAGGAGGTATATAAAAAAAAGATATAGGTAAGAAAATAAAGATAAATCTCACATAATGGTTGGACTAGAGATGACCCTAGTATGAACTAATGGTCCAGAGTACAAATTAAAAAAAAAACTAAACTCAGCTCCTCATACTGGTTGTTTTCTCCAAAAAAAAAAAAAGTTATTTCCGCCCTTTATAATGACATTTACAGTAAAGAAGAGACTGTTTTGGGTGCTGCAGTATAGAAGAAAGGAGCTGAAACACAACTCGATAAATAAAAAATAAATAAACTCAAAAATTGTATCATATGTTAGCCTCTTCCACCAAGGCTTTAAAGTAATAAAGTAATATTTTACTCCACATACAAAGTCAGACTGTAAGAACATATCAATCTTTCTCACCCTTAAGCTCTTTGAATAAAAAAAAGGCATCATCCCTGTCCAATTGGGACCATGCAAAGTAAACCGACACCTTAATGTTTAGTACCAGCAGAAGCACCTCAGTGGCAGAGAGTGCAGAAACGGGATGAGACAAAGATGAACCGCAGACAGCAGTGGGAGCGGCAGCAGCTGAACATGTGGTCACAGTAGCCTCTAGTGGCGGTTCTGGCACACTGCAGGGAGGCGGAGAGCCCGCAGAGTAAAATTCAGCAGCAGTGCGTCTGCTGAGAAGCACCGAAGCTATTTCGTCTTCGAGGCTCTACGGCAAGAGACGCACACAAAACAGCAGTGGTAGAGGGTTAATGGAGAGCTGAAAAGAAAAACTATAGTTTAAAAAAAAAATTAAAAAAAAAAAGGTAGAGGAGTTAGGAAAGTTAAGTGTCAGGAACAGTCGCTCAATTATGCGAGAAGTGATTCCACAAAAATCAAAAACAAATAA